GTATATACATAATATTACGTGTTCCATACAGATGTATTTCTCCATACAATAATATTAACAAAAGTTAACATGTAACTAGTTATTTCTAAATTTGCTGAATGCAAGTTTATATATTGTGTAGGTTTATAAATCATAATGGTAATATTACTTATTCCAAAGAAGATATTCTCTTCTGTATTTAATCTTAAAGTAATATTGTATTCTTTTGGTATTAGAAAATCAGACAAACGGAAGTTGACAGGTGTAGCATGTACTGTTGTAGACACTATGTAAGCGTGTGTATCGTTGGATGTGATTTTTTTATTGATTTCTGTTATTTCTGATCTCCTAGTTCTCGTTGTTTTTGATGTGTCTGTTCGCTTGTTACTTATTTTGGGTTTGTCAAACACATTTTCTTTATGTTGATAAAGAGCCGTAACGTAATTTAATATTAAACTTCCATACAGTAATAATTTTATTAATTCGATAATATTCATCTAAACGAATAACAAATTTTTCATTTGCAGTAATGTATTTTTTATAAAAAATAGAAATATGACGTAAAATTATTGAAATATAATATATTGAAATTATATTATATTATATCGAAATTTGACTATTGCAAAAACAATAAAAGTGTAGTTATAGACTTTCTTATTGATAAGTTTATGATCACAACATCACGAAAGTACAAAAATAACTGAAAAAGCCTGTCCTCGAAAGCAGGCTCTTAAGTTCTAAAAATCATATATTTTTATAAGTTAAATTTAAGTAATTAAATTATCAACCACGTGTCGTTATTTTTAGCGGAATTGCAACATATTAATACTCAGTACGCAAATTCAGTACGCAAATTATTGATATCGATTAAAAGTCCCTTTCATTATCTACTACATTGAGAAAGAAATAGAATCGTTTACTAGTGTTATAAGAACATATCATTGTTATATTAATCATTATATCGTCACATCTGCAACGAAGTGAAACGATGCTTTTTCTTTTAAGAAAGACTTTTAATGTTAATAATAACTTTAAAAGAGAAATTACATGTAAGCTATACTTGCGTTTTGGAATACGTTTACGTCTTTAGAAAAATTATATTTATATAACACAATATATATAGTTATTGCTCTATTGATTCAATTTATGTATTAAAACTGTGTAGGCTAATAGATATTTAAAATAGTCTATAATAATTTGTTCAAATTGTATTTACCGTTATAAGTGATAGAAAATAGTATATTCTCTGAATCACGATTTCTCTGCTTCGACAGCTTGTTACAAAGTAACGACTGTATCAACAAACATCTTATAAAAGATATCATAAGTATCGATCTTTGTTGGCATTATAGTAAGTAGTGGGAGGTATAAATATCATTATTTATAACTAAATTCAAATTAAAATTTATTTTTTTGCTGTTATGTACTTAAATATGTATTATTATAATATATTATATTGTATTATTATTATATTGTATTATTATTGATTTTAATACAAATTAACCTAACAAGATTAGAATTTATTATTTAGGATAATTGTTTAGAATTTATTAAGGAAGTGAAAATATAGATAAAAATTTATTTGTATAATAATATTTCCGTTAACATCTTTTTTAGCTTATTTGCTATGAATGACGAAAACATAATAATATTTTTGTTCAATGCAAGTAGCTAGCCCAGCGTAATATAGCCTAACATAATAACATAATATATAACATTATATTATATTTATATATAAATATGTATATATATATATA